AGAAAGAAAGAAAGAAAGAAAGAAAGAAAGAAAGAAAGAAAGAAAGAGGAGGGCCAGACATTTTCCAAATTAATGTTATCAAATTCATGAGCAAAGTACTATTTTATGTGCTATAAAATATATGAATTTCTTGTAAAGGCAGCAAACACTGAAAGGCACTCACTATGTAAATGATGTTGACTAGTTTTTTTCTTGAAATAAATAGCTACAAAAGCAATGAAGATGAACCTGTATATTGTAAGCACTAAGCAAGCTTTGTATTCAGCATGGCATTGAAAAAAGAAAAGAAAACTAAAAAGAAGATATTTTTCTGTTTTTCAACAAGCAATCAACAAGAGCCCACAAGAGACAAAAATGAGTCCTACCAAAGAATAATAAGCATATTTTAACCTTCCCCTTCAAAAAAAAATAAAAATAAAATAAGAGGTAGACATACTGTTTTGATAGAAGCTGTTCAAAGAATTATTTTAGAAAATTTATGTGACCTATTTGATTCTGAAGGTGAGCCATTAAGTTACAATGTCCAACAAACTTAAAGTCCAATAACTTCCAGTCATCTCACACATCCAAGCATCACCACCAAGGAGGTGTGTGATTTTGTCAGGAATAGCCATTTGCATCTGGCATGTTGACTTAAGCCAGCGTTTCATCCCCCTGAAGCAACACACAATCATTTCTAGGAAAATGTGCATTTCCCCCCACCAGTAGGGCATAAGAACATTCAGGTCTTTCAAAAAAACAACAAAAAAACAGCAAACTCTAGAAGCCTCCCATATTCTGTCTAGAGGATACGTCTCTAGAAGCAGCAAAGAGAAAAGGTTTCCTATTTTGGGAGTCTCCCATTAAGTTATGGCATGTGGGATCTTCTACATGGACACACACAAATTCATCTGACCCAAACTGCACCAGGGGTCCTTTAGAATAGATAGACAGGTGGGAAAATAGCTACCCCAAGCTCATGTCGCCTCCCATCATCCCCTCCAAGGCAACGTTTATCAACACTACTGAGATCGGGCAATCGTAGCCTCCACCATTTCCGGAGCGGAGCAGGTGGTCCCACGATCGGATCTCCCAGCCCACCTGGGAGAATTTCCCGTGGGGGGATGAGGAGGGGGAAGGTGGTCCGGCAGCTCTAGGGCGGCGCCTCCTTTATAATCCCACCCACCGACCTTGGAGGAAGGCAAGAGAGAGAGAGAGAGAGAGAGAGAGAGACGGGTCTTACCCATGCCGGGAGCCACATAGATGAAATAAAGGCAAGAGGAAGAAAAGGAGAAGAAGAAGATGAAGACCAGTAGGGAGCGGTTGGAGACTCGCAGCGCCGTCCTGAAGAGAGGCATCCTCTTCCTCCTCTTCTTCTTCTTCCTCCTCCTCCTTCCAAGGCAGGAAGGACCACTCCCCGAGGCCCCCACTATGCTACCCGGGCAAAGCGCTGCTCCGGGGATAGGGTCAGACCGCCGACGGCAGCGGGGAAGCAGCAGCAGCAGCAGCAGGAGGGATGACTCATTGCATCCCAGGGTGGGGAGGCTCTCCTGGGCTGGGGGCGTGTAAAATGGAGCGGAGCCTCTCGGATAGGGGTGGGGTGGGGGCTCTCGGCGAAAGGAGACGGGGGGGGGGCGGGAGACGCTTGATGACGCAGGGGACAGGAACGAGCTGACCGTACCCCAGCCGGGTGGTCGGTGGGTCCCGGGAAGCCCCGGCAGCGAAAAAGGGGCCCCGTTCGATCAACGGGGGAATCGGCTGGCGCCCCAACCCCCGGCCAAAGTGGAGCGCGTCGCCCGGCGTTGCCGGTTCAGGTGTGGCGGTTCCTCCTCCTCCTCCTCCTCGGTTCCCGCGTCCGCTCGACCCACGGCAATCTCGTCGCTTCCCCGGGACGCATCGCAGACCCGGCCGAGCCCGGTTTCTCCTGTCGGCTGAGAGGCGATCGGCGATCGGCGGCGGCTCCTTGCTCTCGCTCTCTCTCTCTCTCTCTCTCTCCCCGCCGAAACCCCCACCCCCGCACCTAGCCCCCACCCCCGCTTCGCTTAGGAACGAGCGGCCGGGCAGGCGCCTGGACTGCGACGATCGTGGGCGTGCGCGCCCCGGATTCCCCTGCGCGGCGAGGGACTGCAGAACTGCGGGGAACGAGCCGGAGCGCGCACCGCTTCCTGACGCCCAGGCTGCCCACCTGCCCAAGCCCCGGCCAAGCCCGCCGGGGTTAGAGTCCATCGGAGGAAGCAACTCTTAGTGGCATCCGCCAGCAAAAGGAAGGGGGAAGTTGGGATATTCCGATACCTTAAATAACCGTTACTGCCAAAGATTGCCTGTACTTAGGAAACCTGGTAGGAAAAAAGCTTCAGTCTGGTTCTACACAACCTTCCAACAATCTGCTGTGGTCAGCAGAGGGGAAATGGATATTGAACTGGATGCTGGGGAAGGCTGTAATTTATTTCTTCCCCAAGCGATGGGTAGAAGGCAAGAGCCAGCTGCCTCTCACCCCCCCCCCCCCCCCCCCCCCCCCCGCCCCATCTCTTGGATGCATGTATAATGTAAGTGTTAATTCCCCAACTGATGGAGATTCGGGTGATCTGGAATCCTGACAGGGATGCAGTAATGAGTGACATGTAGAAGGGTGGGTAGGAACATAATGAGCCCCGCACAAAAAATAGTTTGGAGAGGCATAAAGAGCAGGCATGATGAGGAAGAAAAGAGCATGCTAAGAGAAAACATAATTGGACAAATGTGGAGAGACAGGGATGAGAGAAGACAAGAGACGCAAGCAGGTTAACCCCAATCCTAACCCTAACCCTGGGGGCTTCAATTTGTGAGGCCACTGCTAACCAGAAGATGTCTTCATTTTGTGCTTTTGTGAAAAGAAAAGATTCACCACTTTCGTTCTGAAGAAAGGCAAGCCATTCTTCAAAACCATATATATTTGTTTAAGGACTCCACAGGACTGGATAGGCTCGGTGAGAAATCTTATTTGGTACAAAGAAGAGGAGTGAAGTTGATTCCCGGGTGAATACTAGCCCACTAATATTTTAATTCACCTAGGGGGAAGGAGAGAAGTGTGAAGGGGAAGGGAATGACAACTCTAACTTCTCCCTTTTCCTTGCCTTCTTATTGCCTTGATGAGATCCAATTTAAGACTGACACCAAAAAGTACTTTACAATTTCAGGTTTTTTGTTGGAATTTGTATTCCTATCAGATTTTCCCCCACTATGTGAAAAGAAGTAAATATGTAAGTAAATAAAAAAGTAGCAAATATACAGAAGCCAACAGTTGAGGAAATAGAAGAATTGGTGCAATTTGAACAGTTTGTGCCCTGCTACTTGATTAGATCTTGAATCAAATCTTCCTAATGCAACTCAAGACCATAGAAGCAGTAGAAGAGATGGCCTCCAAATGGGCAGGTTTCAGATTTCTGAGAGTCATGGAAATGTTCCTGTCTGACTATCCCAAAGTATCCCAAATGTTCCTATCTGACCTTGACTAATATAAATCAATGGGACCTGACAGATTACATCCCAGAGTTATGACGGAGCTGGCAGATGTTAGCTCAGAACCATTGTACCCTCCATGTCTTTCAAAAATCCTGGCGCACTTGGGAAGTACCTGAGGATTGGAAAAGGGCTGATGTGGTTCCCATCTTCAAGAAAGGGGGCAAAAAAGCAGATACAGACCAATCAGTCTAACATCAATACCTGGAAAGATCCTGGAAAAGAGAATCAAGAAACAGATCTGCAAACAACTAGAAGCAAATAAAGTTATGACTAGTAGCCAGCATGGGTTTGTTAAAAACAGATCATTCCAAACCAATCTTATATTTGACTAAATTAGTAGACCAGCGAAATGCTATAGTATACTTAGATTTCAGTAAAGCATTCAACAAAGTAGGCCACAACCTACTTCTTTATAAGCTAGAAAAATGTGGAATAAACAACATCATCACCAGATGGATTTGTAGCTGCTGACAAACCATACTCAAGGCGTACTCCTTAATAGTACTACAACCACATGGAGAGAAGTAGTGGGGTACAACAAGGCCTTAGGCCCAGTACTCTTCAATATCTTCATAAATGACTTAGATGAGGGAATAGAAGGGGAACTCATCAAATTTGCAGGATCCCAAAAGATCTTGAAAAACTTGAACAATGGGTTTGGGTTTGGCTAGTCTAAAGAAAAGAAGAATTAGGAACAACATAACAGTATTCCAGTATTTGAGGGGCTGTTACAAAGAAGAGGGGGTCAAATTATTCTGCAAAGACCAGAGGGCAGGACAACAAATAATGATTGGAAATTAAACAAAGAGAGAAGCAGCCTGGAATTAAGGAGAAACTTCCTAAAAGTGAGGACAATTAACCAGTGAAATACTTTGTCTTCAGAAATCGTGGGCACTCCATCACTGGAGGTTTTTAAGAAGAAACTAGACAGCTATTTATCTGAAATAGTATAGGTTCTCCTGCTTGAGTGGGGCATTGGACTAGAACAGTGGTCGCCAACCAGTGGGCCGGGGACCACTGGTGGTCCATGAGAAAATTTCGGTGGTCCACAGAGAAATGTCACCCCAAAAGAACCCCCCAAAGCAATTAACCAGGCTGTGTGGGAACACAAGGCAGGCATCACTTGCATTGACAACAACACGAGGTAGTGAGGGGAGGGGGGAAAGGGTGGAGGGGCAGAGCTTGCCCCACGCGCCTGGCCTGGTCACCAGGCTGCTTCTTTCTGCTTCTTTCTTCTGCTTTTGTCTGCATGCAAGGAAAGCAGCAAAAGTCTTTCTTTCTCTCCCACAAACTCCACCAGAAATGAATCTTCGGGACCCTGCAAGGCCTCCTGCTCCAAGAGACTGCACCAGCACGACAAGTCTCACAAAGACTCATTTCTGGCGGAATTTGGGGGAGAGAAAAAAAAGACTTCTGCTGCTTCTGCTGCTTTCCTTGCATGAAGCCAAAAGTCTCTCTGTCTCTTTCTCTCTCTCTTTCTCTCCCCCTGAGAACGGAGCTGGAGATGGTATCTTGCGATCCCAAACAAAGAATGATCAATCGGTAAGAAAACGGGGTGGGGAATTTTCCTGCAACCTTTTTTTGGCATTTTCCCAGGGTCTCTGGTTCGTGGGATTTAAAATTATGAGTTTGGTGGTCCCTGAGGTCCAAAAGGTTGGCGACCCCTGGACTAGAAGACCTCCAAAGTCCCTTCAAGCTTCTATTCCATTCCATTCCATTCCACTCCACTCCACTCCACTCCATTCCACTCTATTCTATTCTATTCTTTTTGAGGGTTAAACATAGACAATCAGGTTAACTCAAGGATTGAATCATATCCTATGTAGCTTTATCAACTCAAGCCCTATCTATACCATGTCACCACCTAACCTGCCACCTGAGGCAAGCTTCCAGACTGACAATTCCTAAATGCTTCCAGTAGGGAGAAATGCAACATCTGAAGAGAGTGTACCCCCCCCCCCCCCCAAAAAAAAAACCTGAAATAAGCCAGGTCAAGTATAGGAGTCCTTATAGCAACCAGACATAACAGGTTTGATTTTGCCTACAAAAAGTAGCATATTGCCTCTATATCTAATTGTTTTTACTGAACAAATGTTTTGGAACTGGGGCAGTGATTAATCCCAACTTATGTTTACATCTGTAAAACAATTATGCCGTATGATTTCCAAGTTGCTCTTTTTCCCAATATTAAATCATATTTTATCATCTATATATCTAAAGTGTGCCCGAGTACTTTTGTAAATTGTTTGCGAATATTCATTTTATATCAAAACAGGGTGCCTTTTATATAGGAAAAATGGAGATAGTGATACAAGAGAGTAGGAAGCTAAGGGTTCATAATAAAGTAGCTGAGGAATTCTGGGAGTTGAAGTCCATGCCTCTTAAGATTGCTGAGATTGAGAGACACTATAAATAAAGTGCTGAAGTGCTATTGTAAACCTCATTGCTTAGTCTGCTAGGCTTTTCCTGATGACCACACAATTACTTTGAGTCATAACAAATCTATCTGCTCAAGACATTAACTGCAGTGGTGGGATTCAATTTTGTTTTATTACCGGTTCTGTGGGCTTGGCTTGGTGGGCGTGGCAGGGGGAGGATATTGTAAAATCTCCAGTCGGAGGGGGTATTTGCTGGTTCTCCGAACTACTCAAAATTTCCGCTACCAGTTCTCCAGAACTGGTCAGAACCTGCTGAATACCACCTCTGACTAACTGATCTTATATCAGCTGACCTCTATTTATCATTCAGTCCTTCCATCCTTTGACTTTCTTTAGATTTTCTTAGATCTTTCAGATCTACAGGTAGTCCTTGACTTACAACCATTCATTTAATGACAGCCTTGGAAAGAACAGTTTAT